CGCTTTGCTTGTTTGCCTAAGACATTGAAATGGGGCTGGAGATGAGGTCCTCCTGACTGATCCGGTCGCTTTGCTTGTTTGCCTAAGACATTGAACTGGGGCCGGAGATGAGGTCCTCCTGATTGATCCGGTCGCCTTGCTCATTTGCCTAAGACATTGAACTAGGGCTGGAAATGAGGTCTTCCTGACTGATCCGGTCGCCTTGCTCGTTTGCTTAAGACATTGAACTGGGGCTGGAGATGAGGTCCTCCCGACTGATCCGGTCGCCTTGCTAAGTCAGTCAGTTTTGCTTGTTGACAAAGGTTTGACTTTTCTCCTTGTCAGAATAGTCCAGGCTAGTGTGTTAGTGATTGCATGGGGTTTGACTAAGAACAACTTGGGAAGTTAAGGATTAACTAAATAAGATACAGAACTCATGTCTTTGTGGATATGGATAAGCGGATGATGAAAGTTTTGGATAAACGAACCCCTTGTTTTTGAATTGGCTGAATGAGTTGTTGACATGATGTGCTTGCTAGCAATGTTTTGTCTTTTGTTCAAGCTCTGTCTGTTTTTTGCATTGTAGGGTAGTCTGTTAGTGCTCGCCACGTGCTGGAGCTATAGGAGTTAGTTCAATTCTTGCATTTTCTAAGTTAAGTTCATTTTACTTAGTTCAAGTTCTCGCATTTTCTGGGATCATTTACTGTACTTGGCTCTGTATAAATTTTGGAAAGTTACTTTTCCTACAGGAAGCGCTGCTGAAATTTCTACAAAACCAAGGAGTTAGTCAAATTTTGATTTTCGAAGTTCAACTTTTGTCTGAGTTTATATCTGGCTTAGTTAAAATCCGAAAAACCTACCTTTCTAAGGGAAGTGCTGCCCAAAATTTTACTAAATCAGGGAGTTAGACAAAATTTGACTTTGTGAAGTCAGGTTTATTTCTGAGTTTAATATTTATTTTGTATAAATTCTGAAAAGGCACTTTTCCTACGGGAAAGCGCTGCCGAAATTTTCTTAGTTTCGAAGAGTTAGATTATATTTTGGTAAGAGAAGTCTTGGCGATCCACCCTTTATAGGGAAAGATGCTGCCAGAATTTCCCTTATTCTCTAAGGTCCATAGGAGAGAGAGATTTAAGATCAAGTCCTATGAGATTTTGAGTGAGATGTGATATGGGGATATAATCTCCGTACACTTAAAGCTCGAGTATTTGGGATTTGGCATGTGTTGTGTAACAGGTCCTTCTTGGCCGTTTATGATTCAAGATCTGACTAGTTCAGCCCGATCCTACGAGGATCGTCTACTGTTATCTTTTGATAACAGATCGGTTGGTTGATTGCCGATTAGTCGACTTAAGACACAACTTTGCTTACACTTGTACCTCAACTTGATGCCTTAGCCCTGAGATTTTGTATGTTTCTTTGAAGGTTTTAACCATACTTCTTTTAATGGTCATTATAAAGAATTGAATGGTTTTTATATTTGATAATGGTTGGGGTCTGAGTGTGTGAGGCGTGGTGTGAGTTATAGGGAAGAGTAAAGTTGACCATATTGGTGTATAGCAATGTGGCTTTCGTATGTGTCTGTGTTTATGTAGGTTAGTATTTTGGAGTTTGGTATAAAAGTCTTACTTTGGAGGTAGTGGGAATGACAACCATGTGTCGTGGGATCTGCACACCTAATGAGTTTATTTTCCCTTCTTTTATTTTATCTCGAGTTCTGATTTAATATGAGTATTGGGATGCTTGTTTACTTATTGAGTGATTTTGCTTATTATTTTTTTATAGTTGGACGTTGAAGTCTGTGGCAACCGTCAAAGTCAAACCCCTTGACTTCTCTCCAGGTCCTGGATGATGGAGCTTGTCTCCATGGCCATAAGAGTTGACTGCCACCACAGGTCGGAACCTGTGTACCACCCACTCTCGCATGGTGCAGAAGAGGGTGTAGTTCTCAACCGCCTTGACGGTTGTCTAGCATCGAGAGATTAACCCCTCAAGGTGCGTGTCAGCCGACACTTGAGTGTCCAACTCGACCCTCGAGACCATCGAGGGCCACGTGATTATGGGTACTACATAGTACGCAATCACTGTGACTGCTTGCGTATGCATGCATGGCTACTCGATATAAGAAAGTCTGCGTCCACGTGGTTTTATCTTAAGTCTTGCACGCGACGCCTAACCATTTTTTGTGTCAAAAGGTTATGGGTTGTATACTGAAGGGACTAGGAGTGTATTGTTTCGTGTGAGTGATATGACTTTTTGTTTTGGCGTGGTGTAACGCGTGGTAAGAAGGATACGTCCTAGTTGACCGACGACGAGCCGCGCTTGGGACCTCAGCCCCCCAGTGCGTCGACTTGTGTACGGGTCCAATAGAGGCGTGGAACCGCACGTACCCCCTATGCTACAGCGTACGAGAAAACGCCCTCGGCTGGTCCACCTCTGCGATTGCATGTAAAAGCCTTCGTACTGCGGACCGGTAGCTCGGCGGGGATATGCCCACCTAAGGGATGGTGACAACTCTCGCAGGTGGAGGTAAGTTGTACCTCACGTGGCACTATCCTGTCGTAGGGGTTCGCGAGAGGTATGGCTGGCGCACTCGGTCGGAGCGGCAACGCTCTACGACTAAAGTCCTGCTGAATCCTGCGTAACGCGGTCGGGAAGATCCCCTCTCATTGAGGGGACCGTGCGCTTGACCGCGCGATCAAAAGGCGGTCTTCGGCTGGTCCTTTGTGGCAACGCGGATCTAGTGGTAACCGCTACGAAGATCAATCTTCATGAAGAAGTGGTTGCCTGCCCGACGGTCAAAAAACTCGTCCGCCCGAGGCATGGGATAGTTGTTTTAACCGTGTAACGGTTAAGGCCGCGATAATCAATGCAGAGACATAGGGTTTCATCCCCTTTGCGAGCAAAAAGAACGGGTGCACCCCAGGGGGAGTTACTGGGTTAAAACCAGTCAAAGGAGCACCTCAAGCTGACGTTTGAGTTTCCATCGCCTCTAGAATCAAGAGTCGGCAGAGTGCCTAATAGTGGACAATATAGTCAAGCACGAGCTGGATAGAATGCTCAACACCGCGCATCGGAGGGATCTCGTTGTATGAGAAATATGGGGGAAAGACGTCGCGATACTCTCGAATCAGGTCATGAACGACGGGTTCTAAGTCCACTGTTAACCGCGCGAGTTCCTCAGCGTTTGCGTCAGCACGAGACATATGTGTGAACTCGCGAGTGAACGGCGAAGTAACCTGGGATGTCGAAGGGGTATCCGCATGCTGAGGGTGGATGTAGAGATGGGAGCCACGAAAATGGAGAAAGGGTCAAAGGGATCGGGCTCCAAGGAGATGAGCTCAACATCTGTGCAAAGGGGATCGCACTGAAGGAGATCCACGACGTTCACCGAGTAGAGGGTGACGTCCTCCTAACAAAGGAAGTGAGCAAACTGGCGAGGGGTGGTGAAGGCAATGTCCGGGTGGGACCCGGAAGGACGAGGGTCCAGCGAAGGTGGTTCGGGATGGGTGTTGCTCGTGGTGCCAATGAAGGGGACTCGATAGGTCTTACCACACTTCTTTTTGAGAACGAGTGCCTCGGTCAGCCATTCGGCCGCTGTGCCACGGAAACTTGCGAGACCAAGGAGTGCTAAGGATAAAGTCGTACCCAGTCTCCAACACGTTGAAGTATACGAAGGAATGGTAGAGCCGAGGCGCCTGGGTATTATCCGATGGTTGGAGAGTGAGGGAAAGTGGAGGTCGGGGACCATCTGTTTGAAGAAGCGTTGCGCCTTGTTATCTCCGAGGGTAACGGAGATAGGAGAGCGAGACCCGAGGTAGCTAAACGAGCTTCCTTAACCACGCGAGGGTGAATGAAATCCCCCTGCGAGCCAGAGTTCCAAAAAGTGAGGTACACCCTCTAGATGTCACAGGGCGAATAGGAATAATGGGGAGTGTGCGATCAGGGTCAGAGAGCAGGGCGAGAAGACGACGCAGGACGTTTACGTGTCTCGTGAGTCGCTCCTGACGAGCCTGAAAAATGCTCAAATCCAGGAGAGTGACACAACGTCGTCGCGAGTCGCCAGCTTAGCGCTACACCGAGCTGTGTGAATGGCACGGCGCATCAGAAGTCTCGAAGGGGAAGGACTAAATGCGGCGGTCTGCGGTCGGGCAGACTATACCTTGTCAAACGGCGGGGCAGAGGGAACTGCGTTTGTCGTGTCATGAGGATCCTCTGGCGTGGTAGCCAAAGGGGTAAACCGCAACTCGATGGTCGGGAAGCCGGCTACGTGCGAGGCCTCAACGGTACAGTGCATCGTGGCTAGTTGGATGGGATTGGTCGGGCGGGGCTGAAGGGGGGACTGAGATCGACGCTGACCAGAAATGTCAGCATAGTGCCGAACGAGGGTGGCATGGTATGGACACCGTGAGGAGGTATGTCCATCCTGGCGGCAATGAAGGCAACCGCGATGGGCCTCAAGGGTGGCGCGCTCCTCAGGGGATAAGGCTTCGCGAAGAGGGACGAGACCATGCGGGAGGTCTACCTGAGGAATAGCCAACGTGTCGGCGCCAGCCTGTGCAAGCCGACTGCAAGCACGGGGCATGGCGACCATCGCCATCTGCACGTGGTCGGCCATCGGGACAGTCTTATCATCCAAATGGTACAGGATGACATCCCGAAGCTCGAGGTCCTGGGAGGCGTCCCCAAGGGTAGGGTCGACCTCTGTTGTAAAGTCGTCACCGTACTCGAGGGAACCGTAGCGCCGAGAGAATGGCGCTCCAGACTGAGTTGGGCGGCGAAAGCGTCCGGAGGAAGAGGAATGGCCTCGAGTGGTGCCGCGTGACTAGGTGGTGGCGGCAGGTCGCGAATAGGATGGGGCGTCGATGAAGCGACTCCGCATCCTCCGGTACTCTCGAGCAGCCTCGTAGGCCTGCTTTGTGGATGCGAAGGTTTGTCTCCAAAGTTGTATGTGGTAATCAGGTGGGAGACTGACGAGAAACCTCTTGGTCAGAATACCCTATGGTAGGAGCGTCTCATCGCAAATGAGGCGGGAGTCCTGAAACACCCGGATGTGACGTTCCAGGTCTGCCGGTGCTGAGGACCCGGGCCATCGCGTCTGGGTGACCCTATCTAAGTCGTCGATCACGTCGTGCCGAGCACCATAGCGGTTTTGAAGAAAGGCGGTGAAGTCCGCGAAAGTAGGAGCCTCACCTTCGCGAGTACGATGGGTATAATAGCTTTCCTATGCGGTGAAAGCGCCGCCTCGCAATTTAGTTGCGAGTGGAGAGCACCACGACTCCTGACTAGTGTTTGTCAGTGTCAGTGTATGTGTGGCTGCCTACAACCAATGCGACGCGTGAAGTGTGCCATTGTAGTCAGGTATATTCGACAGGTGCACAAGGGAGTGGCCGTTGTGCTGACGCCGAGGGGAGGGAGGCTGAGGGGCTTGCACTGCAGCGGCAAAAGTCGAGCCCGTGCAAGGGTGGAAGTGAGAGCAGGCTGTAGGCCGTAGCCGCTGACGAAAGGTCCAACAAAGGTGGAGGCAACGACCGCAGACACCTGTGACGAAGTGGCGAGGTAGCAGGGTAGAGGTGGAAGAGCAAGTCGAGGGAAACGAGCCTGTAAGACCGAAGTAGTAGTAAGGGAAGATGAAGGGTGAGCACCATGTGAAGGGTGAGACTGTCTCAAGGTGAGTATCTCCGCCTATATCTGCGCCATGGTGGCCTGCAAGGTAGCCACTCGCTGGGTGCGTGGGGTCAAGGGTGGAGTCGTCGAACAGGGTACCCTAGCAGAGGGAGGAGTAACAAACCGTAGACAGCCCTGCAGTGGGAGTGAGGGGATAAGCGGAGGGAGGGCTCCGGGCTGTAGTGTTGCGATCGATGCGGGAAGCTGGGAAGTAACACCAGGATAGGTAGATGAACTTGTTTGGCCAGATACCGGTATTTGGGCGGCACCATCTACGGCAGTGGCCGAAGCGGCAAGGGCGGCAGGGGCCGATGGATGTGTCGCAACAGACGGTATTGTCTGAGCAGCAGTGACACTCACCACTGCGGAGAGGGAGTGTTGGGCTTGTCCCCCGCGGGAGGAGGAACCACCCCGTCTCTATGTCTGGAGTTATGGGGAGCCGGACTGGGAACCGGTAGGGGATGGGGTGTGGGAGCGGTGGGGAGAGCAATGAGGAGAACCCTTGATCAGTGGACTTCAAGGGTGAGCGCATTGAGTTGCTCCTGCATGTGTGCAAGCGCGTCAACTCGCCCTTGCATGGGTGCGAGAAGGGTCGCGAGGATGGTCTTAAGGTCCCTAGGGTCCGAACCCTATGCTGCCATCGGAGCGTGAGAGGTGGATGGCACCACATCGATATCCACGGGTATGCTTTCGTCCATGTACGGTGGAGGAAGGAGCGTAGACATGGAGGGAGGTGGAGAGAGATGAGGAAGGAGATGGGCTGCTGTGTGGAGAAAGAGGCCCACCAATGAGAGGGAGGGGACCGTGTGAGCGGAGTGGGTAGTTGTGAGTCGGCTCGCCCCGGAGTCGGTGGGCTGCGCGTGAGATGGTAGCACGGACCCGATCGAGGGGAGAGGATCCGTTGGGGTCCAGGATGCCTGACAGGAGGAGCCGGGAAAGGACGGGGTCAGAAAAACCCTAAACCTTAAGAAAACCCTAATCGGAGTTTGGGGGGTTAGGGTAGAGTAGCGGCGACCTAATCAAGAAAGAAAATAACAACCATGGAGGGGAGGAGGAAAGAGAAATAAATAAATAGTGGAATTTCAACATAAAAATGAAAGAAGATAAAAAATAAAAAGAAAGAAAGAAAGAAAGAAGCAAAAGGTGAGAAAAAAAGTAATATTTTATTTTTTCGAAAGTTTCGGCAGCATTTCCCTATACCCCATGGGACCAAAAATGTGCCAAGAGGAAGGAGAGATGAAGAGAAGCACACTAAGTTTCAAAATACCACAAGTTAAAATTTTCAAAAAAATAAAGAAATAAAGAAATGGGGAGGTAGCGGAGAGTGAAGAGAAAACTATGTTTTCGATTTTTCAAAAATTTCGGCAGCATTTCATTACCCCCATGGGGTCAAAGTGTGCCGTCAAGAAGAATGACCAAGTAAAAAATGGAAAATTTTGCCAGGACTTCGCTACCCCTTGGGGTCAAAATGTGCTGGTAAAAGAGAGTAGGGAGAAAAAAGAAAATTTCGGCAGCACTTTGTTACCCCCAACGGGTAAAAATGTTCGCCAATAGCAAAAATAACCAAGTCCTAACAAGATATAGAGGTGCCGCAGCAAAATTCAAATTTACAGAAAATGAGAAAAAAAGTAGGGAATAAGATAATTCAAATTTTTGGAAAAAAATAGGAAATTTAAATCAAAGAGAAAGACAAAAAAAGGAAAAACAGAAAGTGGGAAGGAGAGGAGAGTAGGAGGGAAAAGAAGAGAGAAGAGTGACGTAGGATGAGGGAGTAGTGGTACAGTTAGAAAAGATGATTAGATGATGGGGGCAGGGGAGAGAAAAGGGGTTGGGGGAGAGTAGGTTAGTTAGTACGTAGGTTATACCAAGCTCTTGGGTGGCCRAGAGCAGAGAACACTACCAAGATCCAAAGGATCTTGGCCTTCAAGGTGCTGCTGGCCTGCTGCCGCAGCAATAAAAAAAATAAGATGATAATCTG